TGGAATCAGCAAAACTAAGCCAACAGCCACTCTGCACACACTTTAACTTCTACTGAAGTTATGGCAGCTGTGTCTCCAGCATTGTATCTAAGAGAGTCATGGGAGGAAGATGAAGAAAATGTGGGAAGAGTGAAGTAGGTAGAAAGTTGATACAGTTATGAATGAAAGCAGAGTAAAGGTGGGTGAATGAATAAGAGAAGGAAATCTATTCCCTACTGAGGCTAAGGTGGGTGGTGCAGAAACATATGTGGAAAGGTGTAAGGGCCTAATGAAGTAAACATGGGTACAATCTCTTTTCTCCTAAGACTCTTTCAGTTTTCCTTTAATTAAATGTTTTTCTTTTTGAAAATGACATCTCAGAAAATTGTCTTTTTCTTTCTTTCTTTTTTTTGTTTTCATGACATCCTTGTTAGGTCTCTAGGATATGATACTGATAGGAGAAAATCTATAGTAAGATGTATTATGAGACTAAGGAAACCCAGTGGGTTATGTATTTTCTTTTGACTCTTAACTGTGGTGGCTGAACTCTGTGATGAAAATAGATAATATTGTGGATAACACAGGATAACGACAATATTTAAATTATTGCCTTTTTTTTTTTTTTTTTTTTTTTTTTTTTTTTTTTCAGATGGAATCTCGCTCTTGTGACCCAGGCTGGAGTGCAGTGGCGCTATCTGGGCTCACTGCAACCTCCACCCCCCAGGTTCAAGCAGTTCTTCTAGCCTCAGTCTCCTGAGTTGCTGGGATTATAGGCGCATAACACCATGCCTGGCTAATTTTTGTATTTTTAATAGAGACGAGGTTTCACCAACCATGTTGGCCATGCTGCTTCTGAACTCCTGACCTTCTGATCCACCCACCTCAGCTTTTCAAAGTGCTGGGATGGCAGAAGAGAGCCACTGCGCCCAGCCTGTTTTGAAAAATGTTGTTGATGTCCTGGGTTTCTATGGAGACATGAACTTAGTATATGAGTGTTGATGAGGTAAAGCATATTTGTTCTCTTTCCAGGGCTGCCTTAACAAACTGCTACAGACTGGATGGGTTAAACAATGGCAGTTTATTGTTTTGGAGGTCCAGATTCGGGATGTCTCAGACGAAGGTTTCGGCAAAGTTGGTTCCTTCTGAAAGTCACTGCGAGTCTTTCATTCCTCTGTCCTAGCTTCTGGTGGTTTGCCTGCAGTCTCTAGCTTATGGAAGCATTACCCATGTCTGCCTTCATCTTCATATGGCATTCTCCCTGCATGTATGTCTGTGTCCAAATTTCCACTTTTTGTAAGAACACTGGGCATACTGGATGAGAGGCCTACTCTCCTCCATTGTGATTTCATCTTTAGCAGTTATATCTGCAATCACACTATTTCCAAATATGGTCACATTGTGAGGTACTGGGAGTTAGGACTTCAACATTTAAATTTTAAGGGGACACCGATCCATCCATAACAGTGCCAGTTTGGGAAAATTTCATTTAATTTACTGTTTTTGGAAACCTATCATTTAGGTTGTGTGTTCCTTCTTTAATAGGACTTCTTAATAATGAAGCCCATTAACTTGAAAACTTTTAATTAACAAAGTACGACTTCTAAGCTAACTACATAGAAACTTTCACATGTATCTCATATGGAAAAACCTACCTATACTGAAGTGGGAGAAGGTCATCCAAGTAATTTTGTAAGGAGGAGGGTACAGATGAGGAGGGTACAGATGAACACAGAAATCCAAGTTGTTCCTCTTATAGGTCAGTCCTAAAATTCAGAACTCATCTTTCAATGTCAATTCAGGTCCAAGTTGCCTAAAGGAATCCTAATGCTTTTTTGTTCTTGTTTTTCCGAGATAATTTGTATCTGGGCTAATGGTCTGTTTTTGATAGACTGTTTCTATCTTTACTGGATACATTCTTTCTAAGTCTGTCTTTACCCTCTTCTCCTATTTGTTAAAGGAAATCCTTTGTGAAGCTTGTCTCTAATCCCTAGATATGGAGTCTGGTAATAGGTAATCTACTCATTCTTTTCTGTACACTTCATCCTTTAAAGAGCAGGTGCTCCTCTGGGGAGAGGTAATTTCATTTCTCTTTTATCTCTAGAATGCATTCACCCACCCTATGAAAACATTTAGTCCTAACCAAATGTACTGCACACCTATCACACTCTCCTTACCGCCAACACTATGTATACACACACATGTGCAAATACATAGCTCTCTCGTCCTGTGTTATGGGAAACTTTTAGGGGCAGTTACACATGGAATCTTCATTAAAACGCCCTGAGGAGTGTGAGGCTATTGTATTATACTTGAAAATGAAGAGTATCTTATTTTTAACATTGAACTGTTAAGGCATGCAGGGAATTGGGAAGAAATGTGAGTCTGACTAAAAGATGATTAGAGAAAAAGCCATAGGATTAACTAGACTGAAAACAGCAAGAGAATCATGAGAGTAATTTTATTTGGAGTTTTTGAATAGCTAAACTTTCCAATTTGTGTTTTAGATTCTGGTAGGAAAATATACAAGCTGTTTCTCCTCCCTGAGAAAAAGCTGATATCAGAAATAAGTAAAAATTGTGATATATCTTTTTCCATTTACTAAAATTCTTATGGAAAAAGGGCTTCCAATTATCCAAGGAAGGATTTTGAATAATATGCATGTGTGCTTGCATGACTGACAGAGAATTTTTGAGTCTGTTTTCTGTAAAAACATGTATTTATAGAAGGGAAGGTTTAAAAAATAAGGTAAAGTGTGATTATTTATTTTGAGCTTAATTTTTTTCTTTCAAAATTATGAATTTAAAAGAAAATAGTATTCATCCAAATATTTCAAGATTCCTTTCAATAAATACGATCCAGGCACTATTCCTTTCTTATGAGACCTCACCCCTGGTTTCTGTGACATCATAAGAGAGTGATTCAAGGGGAACAAATGAGCAGTGACACACACACACACACACACACACACACACACACACACACAGAGGCACACTTAAATGCTGGCATTCCTCTTTCCAAGTCTCATGTTCTTAAAGACAGAGTTAATGTTTGTGCTAAAGATAGTGGTGTTAGGCCGCATGGTGGCTGATTCCTGTAATTTCAGCACTTTGGAAGGCTGAGGCGGATGGATCACAAGGTCAAGAGATAGAGACCATCCTGGTCAACATGGTGAAACCCCATCTCTACTAAAAATACAAATATTAGCTGGAGGTGGTGGTGCACACCTGTAGTCTCAACTACTCAGGAGGCTGAGGCAGGAGAATCACTTGAAACCGAGAGGCAGAGGTTGCAGTAAGCTAAGATCGCATCACCGCATTCCAGCCTGGGTGACAGAGTAGTGAGACTCCGTCTCAAGAGAAAAAAAGGATAGTGGTGTTCACAGAACATTACATTGCTGTCCATATTTCTCAATTTCCTTGCAGTTATGGGTGGAAATGATGTGTGATGTTTGCTATTTTAATATAACAGCCTACCCAGCTAATACAAAGGTTTTACACAGCATATACTACACTACACTTTAATTGTTAATATATCCACAATTTTATCTTCCACATGTGAAAACTATCTAAAAGGTGTATTCTGACAGTCATAGACTCTCTCAGTCTTGGGTCATCTTTGTAGCTAGGGAAGAGGAGGAGGCTGGCACATCTTTCTAGCTTGGAGGTCTATAATTTTTCAAAAGAAACAAATTAGAGCAACTGGCCGATTGCAAGAGGACAAGGTGGCCACTTGAATAGAATTTTACTGTGCTAACCGAATGCCTTTTTCACTTAGGTCATACCTAGGACTACATAGAACATTATCTTAGCCCAATTTAAACATATTTTTAGACTTCCAATTCATGTGTTTAACTTTTAAATATTTAAGCATTTGAATATTTCTGCTACATTTTAAAGATCAACATTGACGGCGATTGCATTATCTCAAAAGAAAATCCACCTTAAAATCAATTAGGCTTGTTCCATTTGAATATGCAACACGTGATAATAAAACATTTGAATATTCCCTTCAAAAATTAGTGTTTGACAGTAATCTGGCCTACTAAAATTATCTTCCAGGAAAGCAATGACTCAATGATGCAGTATAAGAGCAAGAAACTGGCCCTACTTCCTATATCACCTTCCTCTCTGTGCAGTGATGTTTCCAAGATTGCAGCTTCTATGACACTCAGTCATTGGGAATATAATCAGTCATTTTCATTGCTGTAAACAGTGCATTGTGCAGTCCTCACCAGCGTTCTGCTCCACGATCTGAGGTCCCAGTTGGAATCAAAGAAGGAAAAGAGATCTGCTACTTGAAAGTATCCATTGATATATTGTTAAAAGTTTTTTGTTTCAATAGTTTTGTTCAAGACAAACCAACTAGAAGTAATTTCTTTTTAACTATTAAACAGAACTTTCTCTTTTGGCATTCTGTAACACTTGCGTTTATCTCCAGCTTAGTTAATTGCAGCAAGTGTTTCTAATATTTCAGAAAACTCCAAGTGCAAATCAGTAATATAGGAACATAGAAGGCATTTAATAACATTAATCCTTCCCCACAATTTAAAAGATTAAATTAAAATTAAAATTAAAATATAGGATTAAATAGGATTAAAGACCAGGACTGTCTGCTTCAGAACCAAAGGTATAATTTTGTGTATCCCTTGGGTACTGCAGCCGAAGAAATGCAGAAACACTGTCTTTTCTTAACAAAAAGAGCTATTGAGAGGGGAAACCTGTTGGTTCCCTGCATCCTAAAGGCTGACTGTGTTTATTTCTTTTTACATACAGATGGTCCTAATTTGAAATATCAAGACTCATAGAGTTAAGCTGGCAAATTTAAAACTGTCTGCAATTTTGGATTTACAAGCACTGTGCTAGGCACTAGATGGTAGTGAAGAAAACCAAGCATGAGTTGTGTCACCATGGTGCTAGGAATACTGATGAAGACACAGATTATACATATAATGCAAAATTATATTTGTTATAATGACAGTAAATGAATGGTATTTGCAACTATAACATCATTTAGTCAGGGATGTGATATAACTTGCAGACCAGGCAAATTTTCCTTGTGAGAATGATGATAGAGATGAAATCCGAAGGTTTACTTTTAGTAAATGAAGTGGGAGAGGAAGAGTGTCCCAGGCAGAGACAACAGTATGTGTTAAGGACTTTTGTTCAGATGATACTCAGACATTGTATTTTTAAGCTCTTCAAGTTTGATTTGAGTACTTTTCTGTTATCTCCCATGTCTTTGCATGCTCAAAGCTTCTTGAATATATGACATATAGTTATACTAACTGATTTGATGTTCTTAGTCTACTAAATCTGTATTATTGCCAGGTCTGTTTCTATTGATTGATTTTTCTCTTCATTATGGGCTCTATATTTCTGCTTCTTTACAACTATGGTAAATTTTAATTGTATGCTAGAAAATGTGAATTTTACCTTTTTGGGAGTTGGATTTTTTAAATTTGTATACATATTCTTGAATTTTGTCCAAGGATGCTGTTAAATTACTTAGAAACAGTTTGCTTCTTTTTGTTGTTGCTATTCTTAAGACTTGTTAAGTGGGACCAGAGCAGCCTTTAGTAGCCAATTTTGCCCATTTAGTAAGGTAGTAATGTTTTTAGTATTCTATCCAATGCTCCTTGAATTAAGAGGCCTTCCATTCTCACTGGTGGGCACACAAACTATTCCCAGCTCTGGGTGAGCCCTAGGGATTGTCTTCTCTGCTCCTTGGGTGTTTCTTTTTCCAGCCTTGGATAATTTGCTCACATGCATATCCTTATTGATATTTGGCTTAATACTCAAAGGGAACCCTCTGCAGATCTCTGGGCTTTCTTTCTCTGTAATTTTCTCCTCTGCAGTACTCTGCCCTCTCCAACTATAAATAACAAACAGCCAAGGAGACTATAAAAGAAAATAGTATTTATTCAGGAGTAGCATGGCAATGGGAATACGCATACCATGTAAATTATGTGTATATTCAAAGTGGTTGAGGCAATGAGAAGTTTTTAAAGGCAAATGAGGAAGATTACCTAGGTTTTTTTTTTTTTTTTTTTAAATGAATCATCCTTGGCTACCAAGATCAATAATAAGGGAACATCAGTCCAAGGTTAAACAGGAAGTTGCTAAGCAGACATCCTTGCAGAAGCATTTACTGGACAAGGTTGTGGTGACCTTTGTGCAAGGTTGTGGTTTTTGCAATCTGTTTTGATATTTTTGTTATCAAGCAAACATGCTTGAGAACCCTCCCTTCATGGCCCTCCCCAGCTCCATTTTGTCATGGCATGATACAAACAACTCCATTTTGATTCTGACAACTTTGACAGCCCTGTGAACTCTTGTTTCCTTGGCCTCCTTGAACTCTTAGCTCCAACTTCTCAACTCAGGGAAGTCAATGGACTTCTCCTGGGCTCTTCATCTTTTTCTATTTTGACTTACCAGATTCTTTTGCTTCTGATACCTCTCAGGATGAGGTATTTTAGTAAGACCAGATCAGTTAATAGAAAATAAAAGAGTTTTGTTTTTGTTTTTGTTTTTTTTTACACATCTAAATGTTGTGTGAGTAAATCTGTAGTCTCACCATGAAGCTAAGAATTTCTATTATAATAATGGAGTATCAGTTATGTTTTTTAAGTATAGGTAGTTTGGTGTGAGAGACAGGGTCATATTGATGTTTTCAAAAGCACAAAGTGAATTTCAAAATTTCACTCAGCCAAAGTAAGTGAACAATTAAAGCTTAGAGATCTTTCAGAGACTGCTATAGTACCAAATGCAAAAATGATTGAAAGTCAAATTTTAAGAAAATATTTTATCATAATCCTTTGTGTATTTATATCTGTAGAGTTTACCACTATGCCAAGGCACCTAGATGACATGCTACTAATATAATAAAGTTAGAAGAAAGACAAATCTCATTTTTATAAATGTGAACCCATTTTGAATTCAAACCACTATTTTTTTTTAATTCCTCATCCCTTTTCAGTGCGAGAACCACCTAGTCTAAGAAAAAAAAAAATTACAATGGTTATTTTTACCACATGTATCAAAGTGCATTGCCTAAAGCCATGTATTCTTTAAGGAAGTGAAAATCCATAAAAAATTCTATATTAAGATATATATAAAAATAATTCTATATTCTATATAATTCTATTTTTTCTTAGGCTGGAGGCTCCATCTTTACCTTGGGCATTCCCAAGTGTCCAACCCTATTGCTAACAACTGTCACAATTTATGAAGTTCTTTGAGTGTACCTTATCTGGATGGCTGGTAAATCAGAATAATAAGGAAATTTGGCCCTTGAATTAATTAGTAGCTGCTTGATTTGACTAATCTCTTCTAGTCCTGACTTTAGCTGGTACTATCTTGTAAATCTTACTTTTGGAAATGGCTGACACAAAATTTTCTAGTAATTTTGCTTCTTGTTACCAGTTGTATTAGTCTTTTCTCATGCTGCTAGTAGAGACATACCTGAGAGTGGATAATTTATAGAGGAAAGAGGCTTAATTGACTCATAGTTCAGCGTGGCCTGGCAGGCCTCAGGAAACTGACAGTCATGGCGGGAGGGAAAGCAGGCTCATCCTTCTTCACATGGCAGCAAGGAGACCTGCCAAGGAAAGTGGGAAAGCCCCTTTTAAAACAACCAGAACTCATGAGAACTCACTCACTATCATGAGAACAGCATGAGGGTAACTGCCCCCATGATTCAATTACCTCTCACTAGGACCCTCCAATGACACGTGGGGATTATGGGAACTATAATTCAAGATGAAATTTGAGGGAGGACACAGCCAAATCATATCACCAGCAATCCCTTTTGTCATGTACCTAATGCAGGAAGAAAATTGAGGTTTTACATTCTGAAGTGCTATCCCATCTTTAAAAATCAAAACTTCATTTCTGCTTGACTATCCCCTTCCATATTTTAAGTGGATTTATATCTAGTAGATTTCTTTGTTTTATTTTTATTACACAGGTAATATATGAATATATGATTGCTAGGAAATAATTGAAAGATATAGATAAGTAAAATAGAATTTCAAAGTCACTTATGCGAACAACAGCCTGGAGGTAATCACTGTTATCTTCATCTTATTGTATAGTCTTCAGATTTCATATTATTGTCATTCATAAATGTAAAAGACATCATGCTTCTTTTATTTATCAATATATTATAAACCTATTTCTTTGCCAGTAAATATTATTTTAAAACATTATTTTTAAAGGATGTTCCATTACATGAATATGTCATACTTTACTTAATAAATCCCTCATTTTTGGATATTCAAGTTCTTTCAATTTTTAAAAAATATTCCAAACATAGCTACCCAATTTTACAAACACAGTTGCAAAAACAGGTAAATGTTTGCATATATCGTGTACTGCTTCCTTCACATTAATTGGGAAACGTGTAATGAATTCAGATGTCTTAAAATTGACCCCTGCTGCCATTTTCCTAATTATGCAAAAGGGTAAAATATATAAGTTACTTTTCCATCCTCATCATAGAAAAATGCCACACAACAGTGCTACAGTGAGGCATCTAGGGAGTCAATTATGCATCCTCAAACTCCCAGTAGTGCTAATTAGGTTTGCATAACCTGTTTCACCATGTGGCTTGGTTCACAAGGTATGGACTGCTAATGACCAAATGACTTATTAAAACATAATGTACTCAAACCAGTTAAAAACAATAATAATAAAGCTCAACTTGTATAATTCTACTGGGAAAATAAACCACAATTTTATAGGACATCTGATAGGAAAAATTAACAGCTTTTATTCCTGTAGATTAGCTGTGAATTATGATTCCATTTTTGGCTAGATCCTGACTCGAGCACACAGGAAGCATCCAGTAATCAGTTTGCTCCTAGAGTCCTAATGGTAAAATACAAGGCAGATGAGCTAATGACTGAATTGTGGAAAGGATCCCAGGGAGACCAGGGCTGCACAGTTTCTGTTTCTTCATTCCCTTTCTATGTTAAGAAAAGGAGAGACAGAGAGAAAATGAAGGAGAAAAGCCAGAGACAGAAAGAGAGAGAGAGGCACTGATTGGCTTGGCCCGGGAAGTACTCAAGCAGGTAATTTTTGGTTATTTAATCTTTTAGATCCCTGAGTCTCTGACTCTTGGAGCATCAGTTGAAGCAAACAATTTAGAAAGTAAACCCACTAAGCAATAAGCTTTAGGCAATGCATTTGGAGCCCATCAGAGAGTATAACTATTTTGGTGGTAATTATAAGTGCACAGTGGAAAACTAAAACTCACATGTCCAGATCTGTCTCTGATTACAAGTCTGAAAGATAGAGAAAATGAGCAGTATAATTTAAAGGCAGCTGGCAAGTGCAGTTTTATCTCCAGATTACGTTGCCAGAAAGCTTCTCTGGTTTAAAAACAGTCATAATTTTCAAAACAAATCAAAATATTAACACTTTTAACTTCCATTTATTTATTTAAAAGATATATTATTATATATATATATATATATATATATATATATATATATATATATATATATTTCAGGTCAACCAATGTGCAATATGGAGGCAATTAATAATATAAAATGAACTAAAGGGTATAGAAAATAATAAAGTGACTGCTCATGGTTAGACAAATACTGCCAAGGCTGTTTGCGTTTCCTCACCAATTGATTGTGACATATGTAAACATTGCTAAATATTATGTAACAATTTTGTATATTCTTTAACTTTACCTAAATACATTTTTTTTCTGTATGTGTTTTTCTGTTACTTGATATTATATTTGTAAGAATCAACCATATTAATACCTGTAGCACTAGGTCATTTGTTATAATGTCTATTTTGCTTGACATTAATATAACTATACATCGCTATTTTGGCTTTTTAAAGTTAGTATATGTTTTTCTATGTATATAGTCACAAATTGGTATATGCTTTTGCTTTTATGCATGCCTCTTGTTATGGTCTGAATGTTTGTCTCCCACCAAAATTCAATGTTGAAACCTAATCTCCAGTGCAATAGTAAGACAAGGTAGAGACTTTGGGAGGTGATTAGGTCATGAGGGCTCTACCCTCATGAATGAGATAAAAGAGGCTTGAGAAAGTCTGCCCCATTTCCATGTGAGGACATATAGAAAGCACCACCCATGAAAAATGAGTGCTAATCAGACACCAAATCTGCTGGGAGCTTGATCTTGAACTTCCCAGCCTCCACAATAGTGAGCAACAAATTACTATTATTTTTTTTCTCTACAGAATAAACTAATTATGATATTACCAGAGACAAAGTGAATTCGACTTTCAGTTTTATAGAATCTACCAATGTCTCTTCTCTTTTTAAAGGCCTGGCAGCTCTTTGGGGGCTGGAAGAAGACCATGAAGCTCTAAGTGCTTTGGAGGAATGGGTTTACTAAAATAGATGTGAGAGGCCCAGGGAGGAGGCTGGGCCAATGCTGAAGGTAAAGATCCAACTCACAGTTCCAGCTAAACTTGACCTTACCCATAGTTTTAATAAAATAAAGTAGCAAGTATTTCTCCTAAGTAAGAAGCAAATATACTGTTGGCTTAGACAGAATGGTGGGATATTTTTCTTTTTGAATTCATGTTTCTTTTTCTTTTTTTGCTTTATCTTTCTTACCTCTAAGTGCACCAGAACAGATGCTTCCAGTTTTCTGTTTGTGCATTCTTCAGGGAGAGTCAGGGGGAAATTTTTTACTTTTGTAGTGGCTAGAAAGTATATATATATATATATATATATATATATATATATATATATATATATATATATATATTTAATAACAAGGAAAAGTTGTCTATGACACTTCAAAAGTAGACTCCTTGGTTTCCTGCTGGGGACCAGCACAGCAGCTGCTATGAGATCAAAGCTTCAATAGATCTCTTGCTCAGAAAAAATTAGAAAATGAAATCCCCTGGAACTAGATCTTTATTCCTTTATTTAGTTTAGTTTAGGTTATGATTTCAATGGAGTCTTCAATCAAAACTGTAACGAAGTTTTATCTTCCTCAAAATGAGATAAACTGGCCAAAATCATCCCCTACTTGCATAAACATACAATTTCCAGTAACAGTCCCTGGTTGGTAATTCTCCTTTATTTTGTATCTAACACCTGCTCTATGTGTTCCCTCTTCCTAGAGTGTTATTTTGGGACTGAGTGCAGATATGAGAGATGTGTGCTAAAAGGTCATCAGTTTAGAAACAGCCCTAGATCCCCTGGGATCCTGCCCAGCTGAATCTTCCTCCTTGTAGCATAGGCTTTGGGAATTCATGAGAGATTTAAAGAAAGGAAGAGATGCTTAGGAAAAGAATTCAAAGGGCACTGGGAAAATGCTGAGGATATAGGGGTAGGGACTGTGGTTGGAGCAGAGAGGAACAGGAGATATGGAGATATTTATAGCAATGAGTTACCACTCAAGTCATATTGGATGACTAAAATGAGGTATGTCTTCCCTCTGAGCAACCTAAACGGAAGCCTTCTTCACCTTTTATCTGCAGTGAGTAGGTACTCCACAGAACAGATGTTCAGTCAAATCTGAACTGAAAGAAACATTTTAAACTCACATGTCAGAAGATCACAGAATAAACAGAAATTAGCAAGAGATTTTAATTTCGATTTTCTGTTTGTGATAGTCACTGGTAAGAAAAAACTGTAACATAAAATAGCAATGTATATTCTAGTTAGTCTCAAGCAGAATTTTGGGGGATTGCTATGGAAAGTTCTATGTAATCATTCTTTATATCAAAAGCATATTTGCCTAGGCTTGGTGGCTCATGACTCTAATCCCAGCACTTTGAGAGGCCAAGGCAAGGGAATTGCTTGAGCCCAGGAGTGGGAAACCAACCTGGACAACATGGCAAAACTCCATCTCTACTCAAAATACAAAAAATAGCTATGCATGGTTGCACATACCTGTAGTCCCAAGCTACCTGGGAGCCTGAAGTGGGAGGATTGTCTGAGCCCAGGAGGTCCAGGCTGCAATGAGCAGTGATCATGCCACTGCACTCCAGTCTGGGTGACAGAGTAAGACCCTGCCTCTAAATAAATAAATAAATAAGCATATGTATATTATTTATAAATAAATATATACATATACATTTACAATCAAAGATTTTTTTTTACAAATATTTACAAATAATTAACCCATGGTCTGATGACGTATGCAGAAACTTGTAGGTGATTTGTTACCTCTAGCATTGCCATATCCCTGTTTATTTTCTTCTCTTACCTTCCACACATTACTAAAGCAATGTCTGCAAAGGGATGTTTAAGAAGGAAAGATCAGTCAGAATTAGAAAATGCATTCCTGGGATGATTTTTGGGATACACCCAACTGACCCTCCAAAAAGGTCAGCTGCATGTGTTTAATTATTGCACCCCATCTCCGGACTCCAAAGTCAGGGTGGAACTTATCTACTAAATCTCAGCCTTGCAAGCCAACAGAGTTACTTTCTGATCTCTACTATGTATCACACTAGAAAATAAGTATGTAGACCTTATTGTCAAAGGGGCTATGCACTCTCAAAACACAAACGAGTTCAAAATAATTTGTAATTGTTGAAGCATAAATCTGAGATAATGCTATCTGTTTTTGAAAGGCCTATGAACTAAGAATTGTTTTTATATTTTCAATGGTTAAGAGGAAATTAAAAGAATAATATTTCATAATTCATGAAAATTGTTTGAAATTCAAGCTTCAGTGTTCATAAAGTTTTACTGATCACAGCCATACTCATTGATTTATGAATTGTCTATGGCTGCTTTGTAATGGCAGGATTAATTTTGTGTTCTGCAATTTGCTGAATTAGTTCATTAGTTCTAACAGTTTTTTGGTGATGTCTTCTGAATTTTCTATGTAAAATATCATGTTGTCAGCAAAAGAGATAATTTCACTTCTTCCTTTCCTATGCTGATGCCTTTTTTTTTCATGCCTAATTCTTCTAGCTCAGATTTCCAGTACTAGGTTGAACAGAGATGATGAGAGTGGTATCCTTGTCTTGTTCCTGATCTTAGAGGAAAAGCTTTCAATTTTTCACTGTTAAGTACAATATTAGCTGTAGGCTTTTTATATCCAACCTTAATTGTTTGGAGGAGCATTCCTTCTATATCAATTTTATCATAAAAGGAAGCTGAATTTTGTCAAGTGCTTTCTCTGCATCAATTGAGAGATCATATACTTTTTGTCCTTCATTCTGTTAGTGTGGTGAATCACATTTATTGATTTGTGTTTGTTGAACCAAACTGGCATCCCAGAGACAAATTCCACTTAATCATGGTGAATGATCCTTTTAAAATACTGTTAAATATGGTCTGCCAGTAATTTGTTGAGAAATTTCACATCTGTTTGTCAGTGATATTGGCCTGTAGTTTTCTTTTCTTCATAGTGTCTTTGTCCAAGTTTCATGCCAGAGTAATGCAGCCTCAAAAATGAGTTTGGAAAGTATTCCTTCTTCTTCAATTCTCTGGAAGAGTTTGAGTAGAATTAGTATTAGTTTTTAAAAACTATTTCACAGAATTCAGTTATGAAGCCATCTGGTTCTGGGTGTTTCTTTGATGGGTGACTTTTAAAGCCTGATTTCATACTGTGACTCATTATTGATCTGTTTAGATTTCCAGTTTCTTCATGATTCAGTTTGGTAGGTTATATGTTTCTAGGAATTTATCTATGTTTTTCTAGGTTATTCAATTCATTTGCACATAATTATTCATAGCAGTCTCAAGGTTCTTTCTATTTCTGTGATCAGTTGTATTGTCTCCTTCTTTATTCTAAATTAAACAAAAATTTAAATTTTTATTTGTTTATTTATTATACTTAAGTTCTGGGGTACGTGTGCAGATCTTACAGGATTGTTACATAGATATACACATGCCATGGTCGTTTCCTGCCTCTATCCCCCCATCACCTACATTAGGTATTTCTCCTAATATTATCCCTCCCCAACCTCCCCACCCCCTGCTATTGCTCCCCTAGTCCCCCTTCCCCCAAAAGACCCCAGTGTGTGAGGTTCCCCTCCCTATGTCCATGTGTTCTCATTGTTCAACACCCACTTATGAGTGAGAACATGTGGTGTTTGTTTTTCTGTTCTTGTATCAGTTTGCTGAGGATGATGGTTTTATCCATGTCCCTGCAGAGGACATGAACTCATCCCTTTTTATGACTGCATAGTATTCCATGGTGTATATGTGCTACATTTTCTTTATCCAGTCTCTCACTGATGGGTGTTTGGGTTGGTTTGAAGTCTTTGATATTGTAAACAGTGCTGCAATGAACATACATGTACATGTGTCTTTATAATAGAATGAATTATAATCCTTTGGGTATATACCCAATAATGGGATTTCTGGGTCAAATGGTATTTCTATTTCTAGAACCTTGAGGAATCGCCACACTGTCTTCCACAATGATTGCACTAATTTACACTCCCACCAACAGTGTAAAAGTGTTCCTGTTTCTCCACATCCTCTCCAGCATCTGTTGTCTCCAGATTTTTTAATGATCGCCATTCTAACTGGCTTGAGATGGTATCTCAATGTGGTTTTGATTTGCATTTCTCTAATGACCAGTGATGATGAGCATTTTCTCCTGTTTGTTGGCCTCATATATGTCTTCTTTTGAAATGTATCCATTTATATCCTTTGCCCACTTTTTGCTGGGGTTGTTTTTTACTTGTAAATTTTGAGTTAGTTCTTTGTAGATTCTGGATATTAGCCCTTTGTCAGACGGGTAGATTGCAAAAACTTTTTTCCATTCTGTTGGTTGCTGGTTCACTCTAATGATTGTTTCTTTTGCTGTGCAGAAACTCTTAAGTTGAATTAAATCCCATTGGTCTATTTTGGCTTTTGTTGCCATTGCTTTTGGTGTTGGAAGTCCTTGCTTATGCCTATGTCCTGAATGGTATTGCCTATGTTTTCTTATATGGTTTTATGGTGTTACATCTTATGTTTAAATCTTTAATCCATCTGGAGTTAATTTTTGTATAAGGTGTAAGAAAGTGGTCCAGTTTCAGCTTTCTGCACATGGTTAGCCGGTTTTTCCAACACCATTTGTTAAACAGGAATCTTTCCCCATTGCTTCTTTTTGTCAGGTTTGTCAAAGATCAGATGGTTGTAGATGTGTGGCATTAGTTCTGAGGCCTCTGTTCTGTTTCATTGGCCTGTATCTCTGTTTTGGTACCAGTACTAAGCTGTTTTGATTACTCTGGCCTTATAATATAGTTTGAAGTCAGGTAGCATGATGCCTTCAGCTTTGTTCTTTTTTCTTAGGATTGTCTTGTCTATGCAGGCTCTTTTTTTGGTTCCATATGAAGTTTAAGGTTTTTTCCAGTTCTGTGAAGAAGGTCAATGGTAGCTTGATGGGGATAGCATTGAATCTATATATTATTTTGGGCAGTATGGACATTTTCACATTGATTCTTCCTAACCATGAGCATGGAATATTTTCCCATCTGTTTATGTCCTTTCTTATTTCTCTGAGCAGTGGTTTATAGTTCTTCTTGAAGAGGTCCTTCACATCCTTTGTTAGTTATATTCCTAGGTATTAGATTCTCTTTGTAGCAATTGTGAATGGGAGTTCACTCATAATTTGACTCTCTGTTAGTCTGTTATTGGTGTATAGGAATGCTTATGGTTTTTGCACATTGATTTTGTATCGTTAGACTTTGCCGAAGTTGCTTATCATCTTAAGGAGATTTGGGGATGAAACAATGGGATCTTCTAAATATACAAACATGTCATCTGGAAATAAAGACAAATTGACTTCCTCTTTTCCTAATTTATTACCTTTATTTCTTTTTCTTTCCTGATTGCTCTGGCTAGAACTTCCAGTACTATGTTGAATAGGTATAAAGGGAATAATTCCAGTTTTTGCCAATTCAGTATGATATTGGCTGTGGGTTTGTCATAGATAGCTTTTGTTATTTTGAGGTATGTTCCATCAATACCTAGTTTATTGAGAGTTTTTAGCATAAAGGGCTGTTGAATTTTGTTGAAGGCCTTCTCTGCATCTATTGTGATAATCATGTGGTTTTCGTCTTTGATTCTGTTTATGTGTTGGATTATGTTTATTGATTTGCGTATCTTACACCAGCCATGCATCTCTGGGATGAAGCCTACTTGTTCATGATGGATAACCTTTTTGATGTGCTGTTGCCTTTGGCTTGCCAGTACTTTTTTTTTTTT